TGAAGATGAGGGAGACATCTTAGAGTGGCCATCTTAGAGTGGCTGATTACAGTGGAGCAGGCAGCTAGGGTTACTACTCCCTCAGCACCAGCTGACACAGCACCGGGTACCGGGAAGCAGACATGGTTTGCCTCCAATGCTCAGTTCCAAGCGTCTTTATTAATACATTTGTCTTTTCCAGAAGGCTGGGTGGCCAAGCCCTCTGAGTTTTTTCCCATACTGGTGGCTGTTTGGGTCCACTTTAGGTGTGACAATTTATCCATGGTTCACATCATCAACTCCCTCACTTCAAGGTCTTCTCGAGTTATGGTCTTGATCAGGGCCTTCACGCTGTGATGCCTCCAGCTCAACATCTTGTTTTTGGCCAGGCATGTTCCTGTGGTTGATAACGGGGTGGCTGACACTCTCTCTTGCAAACAGATGGAGAGGTTTTGTCAGTTGGCCCCCGAAGCCGATCTTCATCCGGCAAGCATCCCCCAGGAGTTATGGCTGCTTGGCAGGCCGAGGTCTGCAGAGCAATAGGCATTGCCATAGCCCCCAGCACCAGGAAGTCTTATGAGCGAGCAGTACACCAGTTCAAGGAATTTAGGTCTGAGGTAGGGTATCAGGTAACTTGGCCCTTACCGGTGGAGCAACTGCTCCACTACTGTGTGGACCTTAAAGGTAAGGGACTTGCAGTGCGATCTATTAAGGGGCGCCTGTCAGCACTGGCTTTTGCCAGCAAGGCGCTTAGTTTCCGGGAAGAGACCAATGATTTCAGATTATGGAAGATGCTTGAGGGTTGGACTTGGGAAACAGACCCGTGGATGCCTGACAGCCTCTATCACTTTTGGTCCTTAAAGGACTAAGACGGGCTTGGAGTGAGGTGTGTGTGTCAGACTTCGAAGCCAGCTTATCTCATGCAGCGGCTTTGGCTGCCTTCTTTGGGGCCTTCCGAGTCAGTGAGTTAGTGACTCAATCTCATGATGACGTTTCCGGCCGGGCCTTAATGATGTCAGATCTCAAGCTGGCCTCTGGGAAGGCGCACATTATGGTTCGTTGCTCAAAGATGGACCAACACCAATGGGGTACGGTGCTCACTTTAGGTTCCTTTCACCCCTCAGGGGATTTTTGTATTGATTTTTTACAAACTACAAACTACAACCGAAAATATGGGAAAGGGAACTACATTTAAGGAGAAAGAAAAAAAACCCACTAATAACTAAAAACCCAAGAGTAGGAGATCAATACATCAGCTTAACTCAATGTTACTTTAAAAAAGCTAATAAAACAATGAACATAATCGGTTATGCTAGGTTAATTATCTTTTAACTATTCATTTAACTGCTTAAAGAAACCCCCAGAGCATCCCAAAATTATTTCAGTGTTTTCAGGCACAAATCAGAGTCCTACAGCCACTATTTGTTCTTTTCTTATCTAATCCTCAATTTGTATGAACTTTTGGGGGCAGCCGCCCCCTTTTCAGAGGGTGAGTCCTCATCCGAAGACCCCGATACAGAAGGTAATTTTTATTTTTAGTATATAGTATTTTTCAATTAACAATAATGTATATAAGGGAAACTATAATGAATTTTTCTTTGCTTCCCTTTTCCCTCTTTTTCTGTTTGCAATCAGTATTTAGAAAACAACATCTGGCCTTAAACTGTATATGTATTTAACATCTTATGTAAAAACAAATTTGAATGTATGTCAAATTTGTAATTGGAATTGTGACCACTGAGGAAGGCCCTTTGAGGGGCCGAAACGCGTTTGGTTCAGTTGCACAGCACTAACCCATCTATGTATGAATGTTGAAAAGTTTTTTATGTCTGAATGGTATATTTTTAATGAATCTAAGTTTTAAAATGTGTACACCTGAATAAATTTTGTATTTTCATAATATTTAGTGTCAGCTTAACCCTTGTGGATCCATAAGGGGAATTCAGAAAATTCCTCTTAAAATTCTGCTGATGCTCAAGTATTTCTTATATTTATAGGTTTCAAATCTGCTTTTGACTACTGTCTACAAAACTCATTATAAATCATACAAAGGTATATGCACACACACACACATTGGACAAAGAAGGCATATTAAGTGCCAAGTCAGAGCTCATGGTAAAGACATCTAAGGCACTCAGAAGAGACTTAACTCAAAATATAATTCAAGTGCAGTTCAGGAAAATTCACTCCAGTAACCCAAGATGGTAGATAAGGATGTGCATTCCCACTTGTATAACAGACAGACAAAGAAGCACATCTTCTCTGTACTGTGCAGTGCCAGCTCTAAAGCACCTTTCCCAGCAGATGCAACTGACAATTGTCGGTGCTGCTTCTGGAGAGGAGAAATATTTCAGATCCTGGGAGTAAAGATCACAGGCAGGATTCATTATTGTGGATGAGCTCTATTTTCCACTCCTCCCAGTGTGCCCTGTGAAAGTATGAAGTTCCATCCTTTCACATCATGTAGAGTTTTTCTTTCTTTTGAAAAAGAAGACTGGAGAAGTGAGAGGAATGTCATTAGCTAGAGGAAGGAGGAGACACAGGGAGCTTGCTTTTCCCCTTCCTGTTCAGACAGAAACATAATCCAATGGTCAGTTGCAACCAAGACCAAAGAAAAGATGAGAAGGACATTCTGGCCTCTGTCACAAAACTGAGGAATAAAGGCCATAGGATATTTCTACTACATTACTCAATGTAAGATATGCTTGGGAAGTCCTTATATATAAATCATAACTGTCAAACTAATTTTCTTACTTGGGCTTGTTCCATCTACTCACGTTCCCTTGCATGTCTTGCCTTTGTCAACTGCAAGCCTGAGGGCAAGACCTGTCCATCTGTCTGGCATTCTACATGATGAGGTCTCAACTAAATGTTATATGTGACTTAAGTCAGTGGAAGATACATGTAACACGTGGGAACTATTGTTCCCAAGCTCTGCAGGGCCAGTTTCTGTTAGCAAGTATGGCACAGGGGAGGGAGGGGCTTCAGCCTCCTTTCCTATGCCATTTTTTCCCAAGCTGAAAGTGCTGTGCCGGGCAAGTTGTAGGGCCACGTTGATTTTGATGTTGGCGGTGCCTATCATCTTCCTCCGCAGCTTCAGGTCGCTGATGCCCCACGCAAATTGCGTCAAGAGGTTCTCCTCCACCTTGGTGAAGGCACAGTCCATAGCCAGCTGGCGCAGGGCCGCCATGAAAGCCGCAGCCGACTCGCCCGGTTTCTGGACACGGCCCTGGAACTTGACCCGCCTTGCGAGTGTGGTTGGCTGGGGAGTGAGGTAGCTCATCAGGGCATCGACGATCTCCTCATACGAGCACTCAAGGATTGAGCGGGGTGCGAGGAGGTTCTTTGCGAGGCGAACCGTGTTCACTCCACAGGAGCTGAGGAGGAGGGCTCGTCTTTTTCCCGGGTCGGTCACTTCATTGTAGACAAAATGGCATGTCAGTTGGTTGGTCCATGAGTCCCAGAGTTTGGGATGGCCTGGATCGAAGATCTCCAAGTTCCCCCGAGCAGAGACCGTGGCGTAGCGTTAGCGGGGAGCGGGGTTCCTTGATGTGGTGTAGGGTGTGGTGCTGCTCGAGAGCGATGCGCTCCAAGTTCCCCCGAGCAGAGACCATGGCGTAGTGTTAGCGGGGATCCTTGATGCGGTGCAGGGTGTGGTGCTGCTCGAGAGCGATGTGGGGCGTGTCGGCTGGAATGATGCTCGGTGCTGTGCTGGGATGCGAGCCAGGCCTGGCTCAGTGGGATCCCATCCTCGTCGCCACTGTAAAGTACTGGGTTCACCGCATGGAGGACTCGGACAACGACATGCTTTTTCACGCATTTATTGTACTTCACTCCAAGTAAGACTAACTCTAACAGCCCAACATGGCCAACTATATACATATCCACCCAGCACCCCCTATTCCCATTGGAGGGTTTGAATGTCCCGCCAAGTGGCTATTGGTTGGGGCTGGGGAAAACCAGGATCCAAAGTTTCCTTTGTTCCAGGAGCCAAGCTCCTGCATGTTCCGTGGACCCCTGGTGGCGGTCCATGTACATAACACCTCCCTTGCTGTTTTTGTATGTCCAAAGTGCCCTGTGGTGCCACTATTAATGCAGCTTGAAAAATCATAGTACTTTTGTGGCTACATTTAAATTTTACAAAGGATCCAGTAGCAGCTTCAAGGGGTAGACTGAGAATGCAAAAGCAGTTCAGGAAAGATTGCTGAAGCTGCTTCTACCCACATGCCACAGTCACAAGCAGAAAAGGTTTTGTGTGTATATAGAAGAAACAAAATTGGCATCACACATCTGAAAAAAGGTCTTTTGTGTCTTCTACCAATACGCACAAGCAGTGAGGTATTTAGAGTATAACTAGGGAGACTCAGGATCAGATCGTCACTCAGCCATGAAGCTCACTGGGTGACCTTGGTTCAGTCACCCTCTCTGAAGTGATCTGAGTCATGGTGTTATTCTGAGGATCAAAGGGTAATGTGGAGAGTCTAGTATACTCCCCTGAGCTCTTAGGAGAAAGGGACAGAATAAAAATCAGATAAATCTTCTACTTTTGATGCTGCTTATTTCTTATACAGTGATTTCAAGCTTCAAAATGAGCATTTGTGTGATTTTCATATATGACAGTATACACATTTTGAACATGACTCTGAACTGCAGACTGGAAGGTTGGTAGTTCAGCAGTTCGAGACCCGAGTTGCCGCATGATGGAGTGAGCTCCCGTCTCTAGTTCCAGCGCCTGCCAACCTAGCAGTTCGAAAGCAAGGAATTGCAAGTAGATAAATAGGTACCACTTCAGTGGGAAGGTAACAGCGTTCCGTGCGCCTTGGTGTCTAGTCATGCCGGCCACGTGACCACGGAAACGTCTTCGGACAGCGCTGGCTCTTCGGCTTTGAAACGGAGATGAGCACCGCAACCCTAGAGTTGGATTCGACTGGCTTTCGAGCAAGGGAACCTTTACTTTTATAGGAAAAACATCTTTCTATGTGAGCAAAGTGGTGAAAGAAAGAAATAACTGTAGCAATTACCAATGCACGTCGGCTGAATTCCACTCCAAGTGCCATCTGCTTGGCAAATTCTTTTTGGTGAACCTATCAGTATAAAAGGTGGTCTGCACTGAAATGATGCTTCAGATCTGTAGGTAAAACTTTTACCATTAAGTTGCCCCTCAGCTGGAATACCAGGCTCTCCACAGAACACAGCTGTTGTAGAAAAAGAGAACATACTTAATACAGAGTACCTGTGTTATGGACATGTGATGCACAGGAATACCTTTGATTTGTAAGTACTACCTGGTACTACACTGCTTAGTGAATTTTTGTCAAATAGCCTCTACTTGGAAAACAAAATTTTAAAGATTTTTTTAATGCTAAATTAGCACTATCTTCAATTAGTCTCAGTGAGATCTGGGTTGGGCCAATGTGGGATGTGAAGAGTGGGTTTCAGTAATCAAAAATTATATTCTCCTCCCCACATTCACTAGTGGTATTAGCCCTCCAAGGAAAATTATGGGTGGTCTGCTTTTCTTCTTGGCGGGCAAATCACAAGATGGGGAAATTTATTCTAATCAGCAAAATGACTGAAGGAGAAGTTACACTCACTCTTCTTCTACCCCCATGCACACGCCTGATATAAGTCAACTCCCCATATTGTTTCTATTGCTATTTTATAGCACTGGCAAAAAAAAAGGATCATGGATCTTCTAGCATCTTGTCTGTTTTTTCATATTTAGCTATTTTAATTTAGGTTTTCTTCAGACTAAATCAGTATAAGTTATACAGATGCCTACCATTCTAGTATTTTACCCCCCCCCCAACATGCTTCCAGCTCATGGACTAAAAGGTGTTTGGAAATTCTACTTTTTAACCCACTTTATGTGCTAATTAACAATGAACTGCTGTACTTCACTTAAGAATGAATAGTAGCTGTAAAGTTTCTGGGTTCCAATACAGAGACCAGAAACAGGAGTAGTTCAAACAGTTTTAATCTAAGGAGCAACTCCAACAGGTTTATGCAAGCACTCTCAACTAGCTGAACTGGCTACCAGAACATTGAATTCCTATTTCTAGAGATGGGTTATAAGCACACAGTATTCAAGTTTTAACAATTGTGATGCATACAACAGGTGAAAGCTTTATGTCAGCACTTTGGATTTTGCATTATTAATTTCAAAACAGCCAGTATTCCCTGCTTTTTCAGTCTCCACTTCTGTTTGGAAGGGTAGTCAAAGCCCCACAGATGTTGTCATCCCGTCTGCCTTGGCCACACATAAAAATTCTGTCTGGTCCTACGTAACTTCTCAAAGTTCTCCCACCCAGGCCTTCATACTATGATATTATTGACTGTCTTTTAAATTAACAATTCAGAAAAAAAAACTTACGCAGGCACTGTGGAACATCTCCTCTCCATACTCCTCGTCCTTCACAAGAAAGAATAGCAGAATTGGAAAGCTGATACCCATCAGCACAGCTGTAACTTACACTAGAGCCCCAATGGAAATCTGACCCTTCCACCTTTCCATATTGCACTTGGGGAGGCGTGGCACATGTGATGGCTATGCAAAAGAGCAGAAAAACATAAACATTATTGAAATGTAATGTCAGTTATACTTATAGATAAAATATAGTTATTATAATTTATAACAAATTTACATAAAGTATATAATTTAAAATAATATGTAATAAATGTAAAATGCAAACTTATTTGTACAGAATATTTAATCTGAGTGCTGTTTTTCTTCAAACAGAGATTGTGTACATGCACAGTTGCGCCTGTTAGAAGAAACATGACTTATACTTTAAACAAGTAATGTATGTGCACTGTCACCAAGAGTCAGCCTAATAAATGGCCTTTCCTTATCAACCATTTTCTGTCTTATTATCAGAGACTAATAAAAGAATCTAAACACATAGATGGGAATAGTAACATTCCTCAGAATCAATACATTACCTTGGGGATTTCCCCTTTTTCAGGGTTCACATGGAGAGACCCTATGGTTGTATATAGCTCTGAACATGGGCACAGAATGCCGCTTTAAAGAATCTACAAAATAGGGCCCTGTTCAGATAAAGGGAATTTTTCTACAGACCTGGGAGAATCACAACCCATCCCCGGTCCCCAATGACTACAGAAAAATCCAATGGGAATGATCTTACTCATTCCCTCCTTACGTGTTTCTGACCATGTAAATGTCCTAGCATGAAGCAGTAGAAGAGTGCTAACTAGGGAGATTTTGCTTCAAATGCCTGCTCAGCAATTAAGAGAAGGGTGTGTGTGTTTGTTTTTTAAAGTCATTGTCTCTCAGCTAATCTGCCTCAAAAGGATTGTTGAGTGACCAAAATGAGAGATGTGTGTTACCCTAAGTTCTTGGGAAAAGTGTAAATGTAGAATGAAAATTTGATAAATGAAGAAAATAATGCATTATGTCCTGTGGATCCAGTGTCAGAGGTCTCTGACATCAGCAGAAGGCTACCTGCATGGAAGTAAAGTGCAACCACTAATGGAATGGATCTAAACACTAGAATGTCTGCCACTTATCAATAGGGATTGATTGCTTTTGACATATAATGCAGCTTAGAAAGCAAAAAAGCTAGCAAAGAGCTTCAAAGAAAAGCCATACTAATATACTTTTCCTTTTATATTAATATAATTTACAGATAATATATTTCTTCTTAAATGTCAACTTTAATACTTAATTTTCATAATTTGGAACAATGGCAAACATGGTTTTGTTACATAAACTTACCTACTGCGTTATACCTAGCTTCTGAAAGGTATTGCTTTTTTATAGTTTTACAGGAATCACTGCCATTATTAGCAAGCAAAGGTTTTTCCCCCCTTTTCTTCAAATTGTAAATGGCTTTCAATCTATAACATTTTCCTATTTCATAAAGGTCACGGAAGTGATACTTAGAAATGCTCTTTAAACAGAACATAAAATGGCAATGGTAATATCCTCCTGAAGGAAGCTGAAACCTTGATTATAACGAAACATGGGGATGATCCAGCCAAAGCGAAGATATTTCAGATTCCATTCTTTTCAATGGTTCTAAACGTTCCTCCATAGTGAAGCAGGAAAACCTTGTATTACTTTATATTATTAGCTTAGTTCTCAGCAGCAAAGCTATAAATTATCAGAGCAATCCTAAGGGAGGGGGGCTGAAAGTATTCAGGGAGCCAACTGACCTCTGCATTAGTGTATGTCCAAGATATGCTCATATAAAGGCCACTTGGGATGATGCAAGCCCCCAGCAGTGCTCCGTTGCTTGTGGGTGTTGATGGTGGGTTGTGGCAGCCACCCATCAGCACAACTGAAGCATAGGCCTCTGCACCAGAGTGGTTGTGGGTGGGTTTGGGGGCATGGCCAGAGTTAGCTCTCTGAGACCTTTCAGCCTGGGAATGCTCCTTTCCAGAGATAGAAAATAGGGATGTGCATTTGGTTCGTCCGAACCGAATGCACCCCCGAAAATGGCCCAATCGGACCCCTTTCGGGCTGCTGCAGGCCGATTCAGATTCTCTGATCTGAATTGGCTTGCCGCCGAATTGCCGCCGAATTCAGCTCCATTATATCCTGTGGGCCATTGAAGTCAATGGCGAAAATATAGGGTGTATTCTGGGGGCTGGAGGGGAGGGGATTTGACTTCAATGGCCCATAGGATATAATGGGGCTGCAATTGACATTGGCTGGCCGAAATGGGCTCGTATTGATGAAACTGACATGCGGGAGTCTTACTGCCAGCCGAAATTGATTCTGCCCGATTCAGCCAAATCCAAATGGGCAGAATTATTATTTTTTTTGCAGACCCCTAGAAGAAAGTTACACCAACAAAAAAACATGGCATAGCCCATAGGCACCCACTGAACTTGAAAATCACTACGGCCTCGCCCATTAGGCTTGGAGGAGCTCAGGATGCTCAGGCTTAGCCAATCACCTCCCTCACTATGGTGGCCAAGCCCCCTTCCCAGCACCCTCTTGGGCCTCCCCCCTCCTACAAATACTTTAGCTGGGACATCTTGCAACTCGGTACTTAGGGTGTGCAGCATAGGACTCTGTCTCGGAGCTCCCTGCTCTGTAGACTCAGAGTGAGTAGTGAAGCACTTTGGTGATGGAAGAAGCACAGTGAGGGCACTTAGCACTATATGGTTAGCACTTGGTGCTGACACCCAAGGAAGCCAGAAAAGTCTGTACTCTGTGACTGACCTCTCCCGTTTCAGAACTCTCACAGGTACCCCACCTTTGGAGGCTCAACCCACAGGTGCAACTGCACACTAGAAGAAGAAGAAGAGATTGGATTTATACCCCGCCCTTCACTTGGAGCCTCAGAGCGGCTTACAAACTCCTTTCCCTTCCCCTCCCCACAACAGACACCCTGTGAGGTGGGTGGGGCTGAGAGAGCTCTGACACAAACACAAACTGCTCTTTTTCAAGGACAGCTGTGCCAGAGCTTGTGACTGACCCAAGGTCACATCAGCAGGTGCAAGTGGAGGAGTGGGGAATCAAACCTGGTTCTCCCAGATTAGAGTCCGCACACTTAACCACTACACCAAACTGGCTCCACACTAACAGGTAAGCAATGGCAAGGATCCCAAACCTGCTCCCCCATTCCCCTTGTTTGAGCTTGGGTGCCATGACAGCATCTCCTGCACTCAAGCACAGTATTGAGTTCAGCCATGGGGCAGTGCAAGCCACAGACGCATAGTGCCATGGTCCCTGATATGCCATGGGAAAAGTTCCCTGGGAAGCTTTTTGGGAGATCTGGTGGAGAATGCTCTGTCATTTGCCTAGTTCCCATCCTCAGCAGAGAACACAGGACATGTCTCTGGTGGGGGGGCATGTCTAGCAGCTACTCCACTGTATGTGGTGAACCAGCTTGGCAAGTAGAACAAGTTTAGAGTCCAGTGGCACCTTTAAGACTAAGAAAGGTTTATTCAAGGTATGACAGGAGAGCAAATTAACATCTAACATGATTATGTTTAAGTTATGCAAAGTGAAAAATTAATAACAAGTTAAGGTTATAACTAAGGCCAACAGTTGTAAAGCAATAAATATGTCAAAATAGTAGATAAATGTCTAATGGCAAGTGTTCCTTCAACTCATTCCCTTGCAGAATCAGAGGCTTGAGCTGCAGCTGCTGCGGTGGATGGATTGCAAGCAATCTGGGAGCACTTCAACACAGGTGAGTGTGAGTTGGCTGGTTCCATCATGCATTTCAAGGGAGGGTTGGGGAGATCCTCCCCAATGGAGCTGCATGTGCAGACACTGTCAGGGACAAGACATCCATGGCTGAGGGTGGCATGACACTTGCACCTGTTTGCCATGGCTCTGTTTTTCTGTCTTGCAGGTGGAGATTCAACAGAGAGACTTGTGGGTATGGCAAGTCCTGCCCCCCAAGCCCTCTTCTTGAAGCAAAGCATCGCAACTGGCAAGCCCTTCCAAGTTCCACCTGCGATGCCATTCCACTTAGGTACATGCCATGTCAGCACATGCCAGTCCCTTGAGTGGAAGTGGACAGAGTCCTCACCCCTTGCTATGGATTCCAGTGCAATAAAGTCTATATTGTGGCCCAGTTGTGTCTCTGCTGATTGGTTTCTGCTACATGACAGGAGCTCCAGACCCCTCCCTCCCCACCCCATCTGCCACTCCCCCGTGGGCCTCCCGAGGACATGTCTCAGAGGGAGGGCTCTTGGGTGCAGTGGGTGGCTGGGGAGGGTTGTGCAGGTCCCAGTGGTCATAATCTGCCATAGCAGGGACCCAGGCGCACAGACATGTTCCCTTGTGCATCTAGCAGGCTTCTGTGTGAAGGGAGAAGGGGTCTGGGTGAATAAGTTAGCTTATCACAGTAGTGAGAGCATAAGGCTGGACCTGGAAGACTCAGATTCTGTTTCCCACTTATACCATGGAAGCTAGGTGGGTGGCCTTGGCTCAGAAGCACACCCTCTGCTTGACCAACCTCATGGGGTTGTTGTGTGCGCTTCTGTGTGAAGGGAGAAGGGGTCTGGGTGAATAAGTTAGCTTATCACAGTAGTGAGAGCATAAGGCTGGACCTGGAAGACTCAGATTCTGTTTCCCACTTATACCATGGAAGCTAGGTGGGTGGCCTTGGCTCAGAAGCACACCCTCTGCTTCACCAACCTCATGGTGTTGTTGTGTGCGTAAATGGAGGAGAGGAGAATGATGCAAGCCATGGGGGGGAAGGGTCGGTAAGAAAATAAGTGAATGGATGAGGCTCCTGTGTGTCTATTCCAGAAAGGGGGTCCTCTGGCACCCAGGGGGGAAGGCAACTAGCAATGAGGGGACAGGGGATCACAGGGGTTCCCTGAGCCAATGGTGGGGGGAGCCACTGCAGCAGGTGGGGTTTCGGGCCTGGCCATGAGACATGGTGGCATCAGGAACAACAAATGATGGTGACTGAGTACCTGTCATTGCCACGGGTCTCTGTCAGGCAGGCAGGGTGGGAGCAGAGAATGGGACTCTCCCAAGCCACTCTTCCCTTCCCTCTGTCTGTGACATGCAACAGCATCTGCCCCCAGGACTTGCCACTCCTGTTGATCTGAAGTACCCCACCCCTCGTGCCGCCCCTGCCTCGACAACACAACATAAGGCCACACTGTGCAGAATTGCCATGGATGTGCCCTCACAAGCAGCCAGCTACATTTCCCCCCTCATGTGCCCTCGCAAGCAGCCAGCTACATTTCCCCCCCTCTGCTGCAGTGTAACTTGCTCTGTAGGGAGCCAACTAGCAGGAGTGCCCCTGCACCTTGGCTGGCAGCTGCAGTGTGGGTGTGGCTCAGAATTGCTCTGTAAATATAATATTCACTATGGTTTGATCAGCTGGAAGATTTCTGTAGACAGAAAGGGGCCAAATCCCACCAATTCTCCCCATCTGCAGCAGTCTTCCCCCTGCCCCAATACTGTTTCAAAAGCCCATCTGTAAGAAGCAGCATTTTAGCAGTGAAACATTTTGGGCTGCAGCATGAGGGGTCCTCCTGTGGATGCAGCCACCCATATAGGGAAAACGCATGGAGTTTTTCCTCCCAATTTCTGTAGCCTCTTTTAATCCCCAGAAAGATCCTGGGGTCATGGTATCCATGTGGAAGAAGAGCTATACAGATCAATGTTATGGAGCAAGTATGGATAAAATCCACCTCATCCCTCAGCAGAGCTGTGCTTGTGAAAGAGGAAGAAGGAGCAATTTCACTCCTTGATTTTCCTCTCTGCGATCCACCCCAGTCCACTTCTGCAGGGGTTTCATGATCCTGGGAATGATCTTTTAAGGCACTGGAAGGGGATGCAGGAACAAGGAAAAATGAAGGAAGACAGTGTGTTAGGAGCATTCTAGTCCTTCTGTTTTCAACAGTTCCATCATACCTTTTCTCATGTCACCACTCTTGTAAACATATTAAAAGCTTCTGTTCTTACTTTAGAAGCTACTGCAACAAATCATATTAATTATAAACATGAGGAATTAACTGGATTTGCACAATAGGAGAATATTTTTTCTAAAATACAGAAAGACCACACCTTTACAAATGGGTTTACTCTGGTTCCATGTGCCATCTTTGGTACAGCTTATGGTAGATGCTCCAACAGGTTCCATTAGATAGCCTGGATTGCACTGATAGGTTACCGTCTTGTTAAATGTGAAATCATTTCCAAACTGAAAACCATTTGCTAATTCACCAGGATCTCCGCAACTGATCACTGAAGTACATAAAGCAGAAAAAAGGGTTTAGTAAAGATATTAAAAGGGGGAAAAACCCTACAAATCCTAATACATGTGTGCATGGATACATACAGTGGACATCATCCTGAAATCTGAACACATGGGCTGTGTACTTTTGTTTTTTATTTGCATAGAAGCAAAAATTGACTTTTAAGCCAATGGATCAGGTATTACGTGTGTGTGTGTGTGTATTACTGGAGAGCAAATAAAACTAGGAGTTCCTGCTTGTGCATCTGCAACTTCAAGTACAATTTCACTGGTTAAGGAGCAAATAGTTTGATCCTCAAAAATGAGTTGTGTTCACAAGTTGCAGAAGCCACCTGATACTCAAATCTGTCTACATTTTGTACAAATACACCTGTACAATCTCTATTCATATCCTCTGCATTAGTTTGCATTTTTATTAATTTTACTGCATGTATTTTTCTGATTTATTTTGTCGGTCCCTAATTATAAATGCATACACTCTAAGCCCCAAATCTGAATTACTTCCAGCACAGGCTATATGAACAGCAAAGATAATTTCACAAAGACATTGCTCCTCAAAAAACATGTTTCTTCACTGTCATGAGGTGACAGACTAATTTCTGCTATTAAACAAGATAGCATAACAAGACTGTATGTGGCTTGAGGAAAAATAACTATATTTAGTAAAATTTAGTAATAAATTATATTTACAGTGCAGTACTATGCAGACTTACTCCATTAGATGTCAATGAGCCTAGACTGGAGTAACTCTGCACAGGACTGCATTGTAAACTGTATATGTGTGATTGCATAGATAGGACCAACAGTGTGCATTAGATATATGGCTGTCATGGCAAGTGTCAGAAAGTTGTTGTTTTTCATAAAACAACAGCATCGATGAACAAAATGAATCCAAGGATGTAATGCTAAATAAATTTACTAGGGAATAAGTCCCACTGAACTTAGTGGTACTTCTGTATAAATATCCTTAGGATCAAATGGCATATGTAAAAGGTATTAATGAATACAATTACAAGCTGACATGCTTTTTATTACAAGACAATCGTTTTCTTTCTCCAGCAAGGATGACATATGTTCTATACACATTTCTGTCATTTATGAAACATATAGTTAAAAAGGTGTCAGTTCCAGACCTGTGCAGTCTGGGGTAGTGCCAGTCCATGTGCCATTGGCTGTACAGTGCCGAGTAGTTAGCCCTGAAGTTTTGTAGCCTTCCCAACAGGCATATATGACAGAGCTTGAGAATGAAACCCCATCACTGTAGGTTATTTTGCCATTGGCTGGCGTTCCAGGATTTCCACAAAATACAGCTGTTAAATGTGGGAAGAAGCAAGAAAAAAATAAATCACTATGATCTGTATTATAAAAAGGATATAGATAAATGTGGTAAAACAGTGGCTTATGGTAGTTCTAAAGACCAAAGCATGTGTTTTCCCTGTTGGGCTTACATTTAGGGATGGACATGAACAGGCTCATGAACCTTTGTTCCTGACAAATTTTGGCTGGGTCTCTGTGGTCTGCAAACTGAAGTTTGCAAACTGCAGCTCAGCCATGAACCTCCATGAACTTTTAAGGCAGTTCATGGAGATTTGTGGGGAGCAAAAAGCAGAGGTTAAAACACCTACTTTCTCCTCCCCATGAAAGCGGCCAACAGATCAGAAACAGCTGACCCATGGGGGCAGCCTGCTCCCATGGCTCAACTATTTCAGGTTCAAAATAGCTGAGCCTGTTCCTGTGGTTCAGTTGTTTCCAATCTAAACAACTGAGCCATGGGGGCAGCCTGTACCCACAGCTCAGCCGTTTAGAGCCTGAAACAACTGGGCCACAGAAGCAGGCTGCCCCTGTGACTCAGCTGTTTTGGGAACAAACCTCATGAACCTAGTTCGGTTTTTATGCACACCACAAACCAAACTGCATTTTTTGTGGTTTGTGCCCATCCCTACTTACAGTATCATTTTATTTTGATATTTACAGATGGTAAATACGTTTCTCTTTGGAATAAATTTGGAAATATGCTACACAGAATGGGAGAAAGAGAGATGAACAGAAGTATTCAAAGCACTGGAACATTTGCTCTTATGTTCTGTCTCATGGTAGCCTCAATGTGAAATAATGTATTTATTTCATGACATTGCTAACATTCACCAAGAATGTAATTGGGAATGCAAGTTTAAAGTAGTTTATCTTATTCTTCCTTTCCTTTCTCTCAGTCTCACCTTCATTCATTTGCAGAACTATCTCCTTAACATTAACCAGAAACTTTCCTTTTATTTTCCTTGGCTGTTTTTTCCTTTCCCCCAATGAAACCAAGGTACAGAACTATGTCCTGAATAATGTACCAGGAATTCCCCTTTTGTTTATTAAATGTTCTTATATAACTCTCAGAACAATACTTTTAATAGGGGAACTTTTTTGATGTATCCATAAGAATCTTGGGCTATATTCAACCTATATTCTTGGCTAGCAGATGGGCATTTCTGTCACTGTAGAAATAGAGGCAATTTTCATTGATTCCTCCTTCTCACTGCATACCACTATTTTGCATCTCAAGCAACCTTTGAAGGTCCTCTGACCACCGCCAGCAGAATTTCATAGCTGCACTGAAAGAGGGGAAAGTCGCATGCCACATCATTCTTTTCAATCATGGTTTGTTGGATACAACCTCGTGTTTTAATACTGAGAATAAGAATTAGACCCTCATATAACACAGTAGCATCTGTGTTGCATCAGACCAATGGTTCATCTAGTCCAATATTCATTTTTTCACACTGATCAACCAGACATTCTCTGGAGAGTAAAACCTCCCCTGTTGTTGATTGTTGATCCCCAGCTCTATATTCATATGGTTACTGAATCTGGACAGGAAGGTTTATTTTATTAATTTAACTAAAATACACCTTGCCTTTCTACAGATTTGTAGCTCACGTTCTTCTTGGTCATCATGACTAACAGCTATTGATAGTCTCTATGAATTTGTCAAAGCCAGCCCAACTAGTGATCACTGCTAACTGTAACATATCTAACTGTATGTTTTGTCAGTCTTCTATATTAGTAACCATTAATTTTCATGCAGCTCACCTTGAAGTCTAACAATATACATGCTATTTTGTACTTAAATAGCTTTTGATTAAATAGACATCTATTGTCTATTTAGAATATAGGAAAGGATTTCTGATTAACCTTGCTTTGGGTGTTCCCACTTTCTGAAGTTAGACAGGTAGTAACCAAAGAGAGCACCTTTTCAATTGTGATGCTAAAATTATGGAACCCTCCCACATAATATTCATCACTTCTATGACTGTCTTCTGCCCATCTCCTAAAAAAAAAATTAGGCCTTTTCACACATGAGATGTCAATCAGCTTTGTTTTTAACCATTTCCTAATGGGAATGCAGAAACCTACATTGCTTAGAGTGTTTCATTTTATTCATATTCTGAATTATTTTCTAAATTGACTTTCCTAAATGATGCAAAAAGTGTGAGAGGAGCTAAAATGCAAATTTTTAGCATCATGGATGAAAACCCCTGCAGACCTATTTGTGTATAAATAAACATGCATTTAAAATATGAAAGAAAAGTGAGATGTTTTACTGTTGGGAAAGAAGACATACGATTATTGGTAGAAAAGAGAACAGGTGATAACAATACATGTAAACAGCAGAAGTTCCTAACCATCTATGCATATGGCCTGTCTGGAGCATTTTGATAGGGGAAAGAAAGAGAGATGAAGGTAAAAAAGTGAATCCAACTTTACACTGGCCTGCAGCTTGTAAACCTAATGTATGATACATCCTGACTTTCTATGATTCTGGCTTAGCTGTCTTAAGGCAGATACTTTCTCTATATTGTCTATTAGCTTAACGAAAACCAGAAACATTTCAGTGAATCGTGGATGAATAACTGGCAGCCTGCAGTCATATCCAGTCTTTAAGCAGCTTTGGAAGAAACCAACCTTGAAAAAAAAAAGTGAAACCATTGGTTGTGCATTATTTTTCCAAGGCTTAATGGCCAAAGCTTAGAAGACAAACTCATTTCTAGCAGTCTCACAAGCCAACAAACATAAATCCTGTGTTCATTTACCTCACTGAGCATGATCCAAACAAAGTTAAGCCAGCCTGAGAAACAAATTTTGAACTATGCAAGTTCTTCAGTCCAGTTTAAAGTGTACTCTAAGTACTTTATTGAAATAAAAGCATCAAGTGTTGCATTTATGGAACTGACTTTCCAATGAAAGTATCCATAGCTACTACTAACCTTCGCACATGCATTTATGGAACTGACTTTCCAATGAAAGCTACTACTAACCTTCGCACACGGGCTGCAAACCAGACCACGACCCATTAAGGAGACATGTTCTTTCTGGGGAACCTTTCAGGTGATAACCCATTTCACAGGAAAAACGCAGTAGACTTTTTATCTTGAACTCATCTCCAAGTCTAGTTCCATGAGATGGTACTCCAGGATCATCACAAAACCCTGGGGTATTTCCTGTGAAACAAAAAGAATAACTGTGAAGATATTCTCAAGCTCCACTACACTGCAACATCATTTGGCTTAAGAATCAAGGTCCTCAGAAGGCATGTGTACCAGAATCAGCACAGTTATCTCTCCATTTGGAAAACACATAAACCTCCTGTCATGATCTGTGCAGGACTGGGAGCAGGGCTGTGTGGCCTGGTCCCAGGAGAGACCTGCATGACAGTGAGCAGACAGCCTACAGTCCCCATAAGGCTTAGCAACGGGCTATAGCCCATCAGAGAGGAAGATTCTGTGAGGAGACTGTTGAACTGTCTGAGGAGAGGGGTTCTTAGCCGTTAACTGAGGAAACACAGGGTGTTCTTTTGGGTCTCTCTCTGCGGCCTGCTCTCACTGTGGGGACAGGCTGGTCTGGGAGAGAGGAAGAGCTCCACTGGGCTCAGCATGAGCGCTAGGCAGGCTGGGGGCCTGGAAGTAGAACAGATAGCTGCAGACCCATATGTTTATTTTGCCTTTTCACACTGTTAAGCACCCTTTTTAAGCACCTTGCCTTGTCTTGTTTTCCCTGCCCCAGTGTTGTTTTTTAATAAACCCTTTCTGTTTAATTATTTTCTCTGTCTGGGTCAATCACGCCTGTGTGTTCTTGGCTGAAAAAGGGACATTTTGCATGTGCTTGAGAGGGTACCCTGGGCCTTCTCAACAGGGACCATAAGTCCAGGGTGGCGGTGGCGGAAGGCGGAGACCCCCCTGGGGTCATGATACCTCCATTTAGCATATTTATGATTTGTGTGAATCTAGCAAGTGTGTGTCTCTTAAGATTCCCATATTCACGTATATGATGAATATCCAATGTTGCTCTTGAGTTCTCTTTTTGTTTTTTGGCTGCTAAGCCATATGGCTGATCTCATGGTTTCAGGAACAAACAGATAACATGTGGATCACAGATGAACCATCTCAGTCTACCAAGTGGTAGAAAATGCAACACAGTGTTAAACACAACTAATGGTTAATCAAAGAACACCATGTAAGTGAAAACTCAAAACATGACATGTTACTGCTAGAAGGGAACAGTTTAAATAATCTCCATTCCTAGGTCAATGCTTTACACAATTACCTGAGCAGTGAGGCAGAGTTCCACTCCAGCGGCTGTCTTCTTGGCATGTCCTACTTGAGTTTCCTATGAGAGTTCGACTTCCTGTGCAGGAGTAGCGAACAGCAGACCCATATGTAAATTTGTCTCCTGACAGAATTGCATTTGCTGGAACTCCAGGGTGTCCACATGATATTGCTATGTCGAGGGAGAGGGAGAAAGGGAATTAGATTCATAACATTTTCTCTTCCTAAAACAACATCTGAAGTCAGATTTATGTACAATACACAACAGTATTGCTGAATTCTATTCATTTCATTTGATATCCTGAATGATTTGTCCTTCATAAATAAAGCACAAGGAATACAAATTACATAGAAAACTGGCTCCTAACGGTGCATTTTTTAAAAGTAGACACTTCAGTTAGTAGCCCAAAGGATGAACAGATTCTCATTCCCACTTGCTTCAGGAAAAGAGTCAAGGTTTTTCCAGGATGCCAGAATATAGTTTTTCCTTTTCTGCCTTGGTCCAGTTGACTTTTGCAAAGCCATCTGAACACACTAAAATCTTACCTGTGGAAACTAAACAGGGCTCTATAAAAATCTAAATCTTAAAAAACCAGATCAGATTTCAGCTTGAATAAATTCACACTTAGAACCCTATTTCTGAGAAGAAGAGCAAGTTGAAGTAGAAGATTTCCCAGTCTGTTGTTCTGGGGTTGGTGGATGGGGCACTGCAGTGCTGTGTCCACACACTTTGATGCATACACCAAGGAGAGAGAGGACACTATTGTGGTCAATATTGTGCCAGGAGGAATAGTGCTTTTGGACAGTTCCTTGATTACCATTTTTTCCCTATTGCTGCATACCACAATCACTTGAAATATAATAATGTGGGATTACAAAATATACTATTCCACATTAACTGGTATTCTGGCTAATACTACCACTTATTGAATACTTACGCAAACATTTGGGTAGTGATCTGTCCCACAAACCAGTAGCCTTGCAGGTCAGTGCAGAAGATCCTAGAAGATAAAATCCTTTCTTGCAGTGGTATACCACGCTGACTCCATATTTGAAAGATTCAGGGAAATTCTGTTGCCCATGACGAACAGCATTTTCCACAAAACCTGGATCTGTGCAGTTCACAACTGTAAGTCAAAGATAAAACTCCTTATTATTTAAAATTCATATCCTAAAAATCCTTTCTTGCAGTGGTATACCACGCTGACTCCATATTTGAAAGATTCAGGGAAATTCTGTTGCCCATGACGAACAGCATTTTCCACAAAACCTGGATCTGTGCAGTTCACAACTGTAAGTCAAAGATAAAACTCCTTATTATTTAAAATTCAAAAAAAAATTTAAGATGAAGGAGAAGTGACACGACAGAGGTATGTAAAATTGTGGAGGGATTGAGTTACGGAAATGGAAGAAAGAGCGATTGGGAGGGCATAAATTTTCACATAGCAGGTAAGAGTGAGAAAGGAAGAATAAGGGGACATGA